ACAAAAACCCTCTTGCCCCCCCGCCCCAAAAAAAAAAAAAAAATAGTTATAAATCTTTTTTTTTTTTTTCTTTTTTTTTAAAAAAAAGGACTCATCCATAGATCTGGATAATAAATTATTTGCGTTTCCTAAGAAACTTTTTTTTTCCTTTTTTCTTTCTTATTTGCCTTATGAAGCTGTCTGAAGCTTTTGACAGAAGAAGTAAGCTGTTTGCCTAGATTGTACTCATCTCTTCAACGCAGAAATGCTATTAAAGAAGGAGGAGAACCAGAGGGGAACCCAAACGAAGAAGGAGAAGGAAAGTCCCCATCCCGACTCAAGAATCCCTAATTCCTCCTCATGCCATGAGCGCTGCCGGCTGCTGCCCTGGGAACGGCCAGAAGGAAGAGGAGGAGGAGGAATGCTGTGTAACACTTGAATTGCTTGTAAACGCTGAGGATGGGTCTCTAAGGCTGACAGCGATGCAGGGAGGGAGGGAGAAGCGAATGGTCTCAGCCCCTCCTCGCTCAGCCGCTGCCCGGGGATGCACGTGCCTCCTCCCGCCATCAGGGAAGGGTCCCCCCTTCACCCTCCATTTCGGCCTCCCGGCCTGCCAGCCACAGGGATCATCATCAGCAGTCTCCCTCTGTGGCCATGACCACCAGCATCTCGCTCTTGCCCATCTCTTCTAAGGCACTGGCCAGGGTGTTGAGATCACCATCGTCTTGATGCTCGGCTTCCCATAAGTCCAGGAGCACCCCAGTGGGGCTGGCTTTGGTGGCAAAGTAGTTCAGATACCTGCGAAGGGGAAGCAGAGAGGAGGACCAGGTTGGTGTGGCACCCTTCAGGGATGGAGGGGCAAAGGATGCCGGAGCAGCAAACTTGTTTGCAATGCGAACTCTGATGGAAATGCCATCACACAAATGCCAAAGCCCTTGAGATGCCTTCAATTTTCGATAGAGGCATTCATGCAAAAGCAGCACAAGCTTTGTTTAGCTGAAATTACCCTCCCTTCGGTCCCCAGAGGTAACCCAGGTGGGAGCAGCCCAACCACGATCCCAAATAAATAAGGGCCAGTTCAAAGTGACGAGAGACCCCAGACTGTGGCACAAATGGATGCATGGCTATAGATGGGTGCAACTATGCCCAGCTATATCCATATTAATGAGTGGACCTATATGGCTGGACAGAACCTAGCTGGATATCTGCAGCAGGGAGGGAGTGGAGCAAAGCCCCCCTTCCCAGGGCACAGGAGAGGAAAACAAACCACAGGGAGACCCACCGGTCCATGGAAAGCTTCTGGGCAAGAAGCCTCCAGTCGTTTCCCCTGGAGTTGGGGGCATCCAGGCTGTTGCAGATCTTCTGCCGGATGGAGAGGGGAATTTTGAAGGCGTAGGGTCCCAGCTGGGTGGTGCTGGTGGCACCGCTGTGGTGGGAGTGGAGGGTGTCAAAGGAGCTGGCGTGCTGCAAGGGAAAGGACAGGGTGAGATGTTGCAGCACAGAGCATCTCCCAAGCATGTCCCCTTGCTGTCCCCTCACCTTCCCCACCACTCACCTCTCCCAGTGTGATGTGGAGCTGGAAGATCTGCCCTTCCCCTTCAACCTGCCGGACGCAGATCTTGCAGGTGAGCTCGGTGGAGGCCTGGCTGTACCTCTCCAGTGTGAAGGTGCAGTGCAGGGCTCGCTGGCTGCCACTCCAGATGTGATAGAAGGGGATTTCCTGCAGACCACCAAAGCACGGGCTTAGCAAAGGCTGCAGCAGCTCCCCTGGGAGATCCCACCTCCTCCAGCCACCCCAAGGGGATGGGGTGGGGTGAGACAGAAGGACCCCACAGACAGCATTCCACTAGGAAAGATGATGTGAAAACCAGTCCTCCTTCCTCCTCCACCTCTCTGGGAGACAACTCTGGAGACAAGACCAGGACACTCACAACCCCGTCGTGCCTGGCTGAAGATGGTGTCCCTGGTCTGGGACCCTGCCTGCCCCTGCCTCAGCCCCTCACCTGGTACTTGGCCAGCAGCTTGCTCCTCCACAGTGCATGAGGGATGTCATGGATGGAGAGACGCAGGTTGTGGTAGCTGTCCTTGAAGGGCAGGGGCTTGGGCTCCTCCAGCAGATACCCGCCCAGCGTCCGCTCCAGCTCCAGCACCTCCTGCGGGCAGCGGGACAGGCAGCGTGAGACCCAGGAGATAAGCAGAGGCTGCTCCTCTCCCTTCTCCATACCCAAAGTCAGGCATGTTCCTGCCAAGAGGAGCCAGCAGCTGCAACAAGCCCATGGGGAGCCTTCCCCAGGAGAGTAGCCTTTGTCACCCGACAGCTGCTCTCCAAGAACTTGCCAACTCGCCTCACACAACAGCCCAACCTACAACTTGAATTTTATAACACATGAGCATCTGTATACACCTCTGTACTTCTCAGCTCATCCAAAGGTCCAACATAAAGGTTGGGCATGGCACTCTTCAGAGTGCCACCTGTTCTGTTTTTAATACCATCCCTCTATTAGACCAACAGCTCTTAGGAGAAAAATGCAAGCCAGGAGGCAGAGCTCTGCCTACATCTCCACCTAGAGGCACTGCAGCAATCCTCACTCCATGGGACAAGTCACTGGGAATTCCATCAAACCGCTGGTCCAGGCAGCCAAAGCACCAAAACTCAAGATCTTCATACTGCATTCTATGCTACCAGTGCCACAAACCCTCCCAAGGAGGGGAGAGACAAGTCTCCATGCAGGAATAACAGGATCAGAGAAAACCTGAGGCAAATCTCAGCAGCGTTTCCCGAGTAGGAGAGGGAAAACCCACCCAGCAGCAGCAAAACCTCTCGTGTAATGCCTGCACAAAGGGGGCCCAATACAGGAGCTAAGCAACATCTTTGTTATTTCCTTCAGAGAAGGTGAGGAAGGACAGGGAAAGCAGCAAAAACACTTCTTATTTCACTGTTGTGGTCACTTTGCAAGCAGTTTCATCAGGCTGTCTGCTCCTTTGGGCCAGGCCATCCTGAGAGGCACCTAGCAACATCACATCACCAGCGCCAACAGCTTTGGGAAACAGGGGCAGCCCGCCCCAGTGTGGGCGTTGCAAGGTGACAATACCTTCAGAGCATCTGGTGTGTCCTCCAAGCAGTAGACCTTCAGGCTGTACTCCAGAGAGGTGCAAACAGTGGGGGCAAAGATTGCCAGCTGGAGCCTCTTGATGGCTGACCTGGAGTAGGACTCTCCCACGAAGACGTAGGTGCCAAGCTGGTCTAGCAAAATGTGGCAGGACTTGGCTTCCAGCTGGCAGTAGCAGGGAGTGTTGAGGGTCTCCTCATCCAGGGTCACAACTTCCTACAGGGAGAGATGGGAAATCAAGGCTGGGGGTCAGCCTGTTGTCCAGGGGGTTGTGTCCCACAACACTCATGGTCTTTGCTGGCTGCAAGGGCTGGGTTCCCACCTTACCTCCCAGTTTCCCTGGTGGGACTGTGTTTTCAGCTGGTAAATCCAATCTGAGGAGCCGACATCGGCACAGTGGGGAATGGTCAGGACGACGGGGCGGCAGAGAAGCAAGCCGGTGGGTCCGCAGGTCACTGCCGGGCTCAGCACTGTCTGCGTACCTTCAGAGGGCAGGCTGGGAGGGGAGAGGGGACACTGGTTGGAAAGAAAGCTTCATGGTGGCCAACGAAGAGCAGAAGCGCGGACGGCACAGTGGGACTTACAGGGCACTCTCTGCCTTGTTGAGGGCCAGGTAAATCTCGTAGAACTTCCCCTGAGGGATGGCTCCATGGGGCACCAGCAGGCTCACCCCTAGCACAGCACACACAGGCGTTAGTCACAAAATGAAGGAGAAACCACCAGGGAGAAACCACCCTTCCACCCTGGCCGGCAAGCACAAGGACAGCAGTGAGCTAGGGCAGCCCAAAGCACCCCAGGAGAAACATCTCCAGATGTTCCACAGCTGCACTGCTTGCAGGGAGGAGCCAGAACACTGCATTAGGAAGTAAAAGTGCATGCTGGATCTTTTTGCAAGGCACTGGCCCTGGATCAATGGCAGGGCTGGCCAGGAAAGTCCCAGGAGGCTGTGACCTCCAGCTTGAGAAGCCTGGTTTGGGAACGGCTTGCTTGCTTCCTCCCCTGTGCCAGCTTTGGGCTGCTCATGGCAGGCAAGAGAAACTTCTTGATCATTCAGCAGCCAAATGCACCCTCCTCCCCAGGCCAGGGCTTACCAGTGCCCGGGATGGTGAGCCTTCCTCCCAGGTAGCCAAATGTGCTGCTGGCGCTGTTGCTGTGCTCCCTGGGCAAGCTGAGGAGATGCTGGGAGCCCAGGGCTTTGTTCCGCACATTTGCAAAGTGGCCGTCCCTGGTGTTGTCCCCCGGCAGGGACCCCCCCGAGTAGGTCCGTCCCATCATGGAGCCCTGGCGAGGAGGAGGTGGTGGAGGAGTTGTACACCTTGATCTTGAGGTTGGGCAGGGGGTCAAGCAGGGGGGAGTTGGTCATGGGGATCTTGTCGGAGGAATCCTGCAGGGCATACATGGGGCCACGGTACACACCAGCGCTGGCTGTCAGGTCTGGCTGCATCGAGGGGTGCAGCAGCTGAGGGTTGTCTGTCGGAGGAGGAAACAGGGATGGGATGAAGACAGCAGTGGAACCAGGGGGAGGTAAAAGCACTGCTTGAGTGGAAGAGACACGTGTGAGAAGCCCTCCTCTCTGCCTGGGCTTGAGCCAGCAAGCAGGACCTGCACAGGCTACAGTTCTTACCATGCCGGGAGGTCTTGAAGTTGACGGGGTGGAAGCCTCCAGTCAGAGCAGCTGATGAGTCTGTGATGTCTGTGTCAAAATCCCGGCATCTCCTCCGGTACACCACCACGCCCACAGCCATGAGGATCACAATGAAGACAAAAATGGCCACCACCAGCCCGGCGTACAGGGCCACATCACCTGTAGCCTCCAGCACTGCAAGAGATTAAAGAAATGGAGGTGAGACAAAGAGCACCAGAAATGCACATCAAGACTGACCAGTGCTCCCCAACCCTACCACTGACTTGGGACATAGGCACGAAGGGGAAGATGTGTACTGAGCCTACTGGAAAGGCTGTGGCAGGAGGATGGAGGGTGTTTCCTAAGAGCAGACTAGAAGTTAGAGTGATGCCAGACATTGAGATGGGGGTGAAGCCCTAAAACCTTTGGAGGACACCTTGTTATGGCTTATGTAAACTTTATTGAGCACCAAGAAGCCCAGAAACATTAGGTTTGTGCAGCTCAGATTCATGAAGCTATCAACCTTCACATCCTACTAGAGACAACCCTGAGGAGTAACCGTAATGCCTGACCGTGCATCTCAAATATACGTGCCTGAGCTATGCATCCATCCAGAAAGACCGAGCGTCACTGTACCCATACAGGCACCACTCAGCTTCCCCATCTTCCCTTCCCCTGCCACAAGGCTCTCGATCTTTAAACTGCATCTATTTGCCCAGAAAGGAGAGGGACCAAGAGGGAAGGGAGACCATGGTGAAGCCTCCAGCAGCAGGAGCTGAGCATGCTCAGCCCACCCTTCTCTCCTTCCTCCCTCTATGCTCACCCACATCTCTTGGTTTCTACAGTTTCATGCTGGAGTGAAGTCCTGTCCTAGGCCTGGTGATCTCAACCACATTTGGACTATGCTACTTCTGGGAGGTGTCACCTCGTCCTTAAGTCATTCCCACTCTGGATGCCAGAAATGGGAACCCTGATGTGCCCCTGGGACCCCTAACTAGAGGAAGGGAGTCCTTGTGGTGGGGTGGTCAAAGACTAGAGTAACTTTGATGGTGTAACATTGGCTGCATCGTGGTGCTCCTGAGAAATGCAGGCAGCAAATCAGGGATGGAAGCGAGGGTGCAAAAGTGGGTTGTATATAACTTCAAGCAGAGGCCATGATTTAATGTACGCAGGAGTTTTAGGGTGGGCTTTAGTTGCTCCCTCTTCCCACCCCCTGTCCTGCCCCAGCTGCCAAGAAGCCCTACCATGGATGCGAGGAGCCCTACCATGGATGCAACAGAACAAAACCAAAGCAATGCCTTGCAAAGAAACAAAACGGCCATGAAACGAGCACTTACGGTGGCTTTTGGGTTCACTTAGAACTCTCTTATCTGTTAGGAAAAAAAAAATTAGAAAACAAAAGGTGAATGTGATGATGAGGATGAGATGAAACAAAAGGCAATGGAGCCTGCCCAGGGGGAACGAGGAGACGCAGCGTGGTGGGGAGGGAGAGGAGAGCAGCATTGAAAGCCAGGCAGAAGCATGGTGAGAGATGATGTCCCCATGCCCAGCCAGCCCATGGGACATGTGTCCCCAGCTAACAGGACTTAGGATGTTTCTGGCTGTGGCAGTGTTAACGGGGACAGTGGTGTCATACAGCAGCAGGTGGCAGCACTGGCTGCTCAGCCTTCATGTGCCCACTCATAGTGTAGCAACACCATGATTATTATTATTACTATTATTGGTTTTTTTTCCTAGCTGCTGCTCCAGGGCTCCTACTCAGCAATGACCCAGGTCAGATGTTTTCATGGCAGGGGGGTTGGAACCAGATGATCTTTTAAGGTCCCTTCCAACTCAAACCATTCTACGATTCGATGAAACCCCTCCTGGCTTGCCATCACTAACCACAACCAGCCTTATTTCAGCAGAGACCCCAAAACATAGCACCCACTTCTGAAGGCTTGGTGTGGCATTTAGATCCCACCAAAAAACCCCTAAACCTTTCTTTCCACTGGGTGAGAACTAGCTTTGCAAGTGAGTCAGGTTAAAGAAAACCTTGTTCAAGACATAATTAAAAAAACAGGTGTCAGTGACACTGCTGCCTGCCCCGTCAACTTGGAGGCATGGCCAACAAGAGCATGGCCAAGCACTGGAGTACCATGTCTACTGGCATTGCCTATAGCACAGGTCCCTGCCCGCCTGCCCCCTGCCCCCTGTACTCACTCTGCAGGCAGAGCCCGTCGGTGCAGTTTTTGGAGTCGAGCAGCACGCCGCTGCAGTCCTTGCCGCCGTTGCGGGGAGCTGGGGCAGTGCACTCGCGGCTGCGCCAGTGGGTGCACTCGGTGCTGCACGCCGACCATTTGCTCCACTCCGTCCATGCTCCATCCACTGCAGGTCACCAAACACAGCCACATCAGTACACCCTTCGGCACAGCCTTCAGGCTCATTCCTCAGTGCTGGGATGTCTCTGGGTACCTGTGCCCATCTCAGGGCTTCCAGAGACCTTTGGAAGGAAGCATTATCCCACCAAACTCAGCTCCACCAGGAGCACAGGTGGACCATGCACAAGGATGATCCAAGGGCTGGAGCACCTCTCCTATGAGGACAGGCTGAGAGAGTTGGGGCTGCTCAGACTGGAGAAGATAAGGCTCCAGGAAGACCTAGTGGTCTTCCAGTACCTGAAAGGGTTACAGAAAGGCTGGGGAGGGACTTTTGAGAAGAGCAGGGAGTGAGAGAACAAGGGGTAATGGCTTTAAACTGGAACTGGGGAGATTGAGATGAGATGTGAGGAAGAAATTCTTCATTGTCAGGATGGTCAGACACTGGCCTAGGTTGCCCAGAGAAGCTGTGGATGCCCCTCCCTGGAAGTGTTTAAGGCCAGGCTGGATGAGGCTTTGAGCAATCTGGTCTAGTGGAAGGTGTCCCTGCTCATGGCATGAGGGTTGTAACTAGATGATCTTGAAGGTCCCTTCTAACCCAGCCCATTCCATGATTCTATAACCTGGGGATGGACAGTATGGACAAGGCTTCTGAACCCGCCTTACCTGGGCAGAGGGTGGTGCAGGTGATTTTCTGGAAAGGCTGCCCATCACAGAAGGAGCCGCCATTCAGTGGCGCAGGGTTGGTGCAGGTCCGGGTACGCTTCTGCCAACCCCGGCCACAGCGGTTGTTGCAAGGAGACCACTCAGACCAGGTGGACCAGCCACCATTCACTGCAAAAGGAGATGGACAGCGTTAACACATCAGCAGAGCCCATTTCAGCAGGGACTGGAGCTAAGCTTAGGGTTTACTGGGTCCTCTGTCCTTACATCTGTGATGCCCTGGAACAACTTACCCTCACAAAAAGCAAATCACGATACTTCTTCTCATGTCACATACCCCATTGCACAAGATGCTCAAGCCTGTTTTGGTCCTTTTTTCACTTTGCAAATATTTTTGCATCTGGCCACAGCAGATCTTTAACTTCATAGCAAAGTTCATCCAAATGCAGCTTTTCAGCTGCTTTCAGAGTCAAAGCCATCTGGCTAGTCCAACCTCCACCCACCTTCGCACCCAACCGAGAAGGCTTGCAAATACCTACACCTACTAACCGCTCCTAATAACCTGTGCAAGCTAGGAGAGGCATCAGGTTTGCAGACATTGGCTATTACCTAATTTAATGCAAAGCCCTGGTGGGGTTCACTCCTACCACTTCCAGAAAGTGCCCATATTTCCCCTTGGCTTGGAGACATGGCTGGCAGCAAAGGTCCCCTCCACAAGAGCAAGGGCCAGTACCATAGACAATGACAGCAGCTGTGGTGCTCCGGCGCTTGGCCACAATGTTCTTGGCCATGCAGGTGTAATTAGCAGTGTCCAAGAGGCGGGCTTGCTTGATGATGAGGTTGTGATCAATGGTGATCAGGAAGTTGGTGTCTTGGGTGGGATCGATGACATCTTCATTCCTTAGCCACTCTACCTGGAAACGCAAAGGAAGGGATGGGGTAAGGACAGTGATTAAGCTGAACAAGAACTGAATGCTCAGCCAGTAAAAACACATCATGGGTTTTTCTGGAAACACCCATCCCACGTGCTCTCCACTACGAGGGTCTCCAAGGGCCCCAAAACTGAGCCAGGACACAACGGCTTAACTAGGCTGTTTGGGAAGGGTGTGAGTTGATACTGGCACTGAGCATGGGTGTGGGCACAAGCAAGGAGGAATATCAGGTTGGAGAGGCTGAATTCACCAGCCCTGATGGAAAGCAAACCCCACAAGACCACCCCCAAAGCCCTCCCCATCTTCAACACCAGGACCACTGATGTCCTCAGCACCACAACTATTGGCTTTCCAACCTTGCCTCTGACCTGCAAACCAGGTCTGACCAGGGCACATTACTACTGTTTTGGTCAAGGATGGGACACTGTGGCTATCACCAACACACAACTCCTGGGGGCTGATGGAGCTGTAAGCAAGGAAAGCAACGCTACCGTGCCAGGGAAACCCATCTGTATTGACTTTCCCAGCCCTTGGCTCTTGCTTGTGACTGCTCCCCTTCAGACATTTCATTGGGTGCCTCCTTGTTAGATCTTCCCCCTAACGAGTTAACAGCACATCAGGAAGCATGGGAGAGGTGGGTTGAGCAGGTGCTGAGGTTACGTGTGTTGTTAGATGTCAAAATAACAGATCCACCACCCAAAATAAACAATTCTGCTGAACAATGAAAGCTGACAGTCTCAGCACAAGGCCATCCATCATGGCCGCAAGCTATCTGCAAGGACGTGCTCAGCCTCCCCGCGGGATTGGAGAGGACATCCTACCGGGCATTTCTTTGGGCTGCTGAACTGCTCACCTCAGCCTGTGGCACCCCCTCGGGTGGGCGGCACTGCAGCAGGACCTCATGCTCCAATGGGACCTCCTTGCCCAGTGGCTCCTGGTCAAAGTTCTTCCGTAGGTCTAGGGGAGAAAGGAAAACCCAGGGGTTACCAGCCCACGGCAGGAACAGGGCAACCTGCAAAAGCTTGGGGGGTGAGAGCAGCACCTCAGCACCAGAAACACTCCAGCTCAACACAGCTAGAGCAAAACATGTCCTGGGAGGAAGGAGCTGAAGCAGCATCTTTTCCAGGATGGATTCAGGACAGCAGCACATGGTGCTCGAGGTCAATGCCTTTCCTCCTTCACGCACTTGCAAGCTTAAACCCCCTCCTGGCTTTTCCTTTTGGGCCTAAACCTCAGCTTAACCACTGTTTCTTCAACCTCCCCATTTCTTTCCCCCTCTGGACTCTGCACCAAGACTTTTTGTTGAAGGGGAGAAACGAGATTTGCACAACAGCTCAGCTCCCAAGTCATCACCAAGGCAAGTTCTGAAATTTCAGAGCTATGAAGGCTTGTTGCTCGGCTCTGCCCTGGTCGGTCCTGGCTGAGCCATGTCCCCAGACTTGCTGGAAACTTTGGAAACTTGGCCATCGAACTCTGGTGCCAAAGTGGGGAGTGGTCACTGCTGAAAAGCCAGGCTTGCTCAGCAAGGGGCTGGCCAGTGCTTTGAGGAAGGGGGAGAAGCGAGAAAGTCAGCAGAGCTCCCAAGGACATGGCAGGGTCCCACTCCAGAGCCTTGAAGGGAGCAGGAACATCACTAGATGGTGCTGCAATCCTCTACTATGGGCCCTTCTGCAGCTGAGCCTCCCGCTTGCCCTCTCGGTACATCTCATCCACTCGGCTCGGAGACACACTAAACCCTTGGCTGGAAACACCAAACCCTTGGCAGAGGCTGGACAAAAGGGCTCCCTCAGCAGCCAGCCCTGGGTCTGGTAAAGTTTTTCCCTGTTCAAACTAAATCCTGCAGCAGCATAGCTGATTCACCAGCTCCCTCCATTTTGGATAATATGCTGGATTATTGGCCTTCTAATAGCAAAATCTGTTTATGATGAGGAAAGCCTGGCTGTTCTCCTATAGCTTTGCCATCTCATTTGCTAAGAGGGCAAATTCGAACGGGTAACAGCCTGATTAACTCGCCCTTAATCAGGCTGACACCCACAAACAGCAGCTTAGAGAAGTGACATATGACAGCAGGGACTCCAAGGGACACGGAGTCGCTGATTCAGGCAAAGCGTGCAAGGTGCTAACTGTTGGGTTATTAACGATAATAAAGCACCAGGAAGAGCTGAGCATGCTGATGGGCGATGCGGTATTAACCCAGCTAGTGCCACGGCCCTTTGCTCAGATGGGTTGGGACAATGTCTGCTCAGAAGCAAAGCTAGAGTTGGGCTGGGGAGCTAAGACCAGGGCCATCCACCATGGACGTGTCATCTCCAATGGATCAAAAAGCACTGCTTCCAAGAGGGAGGCAGCTTTTGGAGATGCCAACCCCACACAGCTGCACCCACTCTCTCTCAGGGATCCTGGGAAGCTGGGAATGAACAGCCTGGCTGCTATTTCAGCTGGTGTTGCTACCAGAAGCAGCACATGCCCAGCTTGACATCGCTCCTTTTTCAGCCTCGGATCCAGGGTCACACCTCAGGTTTTGTAAACAATTTCTAAATCAGTGGGTTGTACCCTCTGGAAACCTTTTGGGGCACCAAAAGTGGAAAAGAAGGTGTGTGAAGGATTCATTTAAACTACATCAGTAGACTATGAGCCGGAAGCGCGCAGGCAGGTGCACGCAGAGGGGCAAGGAACACTGCTGGAGGGGTCATGCCCGAGCAAGCACTACGCGTACCGGGCACTTACATGCGATGCGGACGTATGCCCGGCGGCTCTTTGTGGTGCCCGCAGAGCTCCAGGCCACACACTGGCACCAGTAGTCTTCTAAGCCAAAAAGCTCCTCCACCTGCTGCCGGGAGACCTCGATCTGCACCTCCCGCACCAGCATCCCTGGAAGAGGACAGAGGGATGGCATCAGCTTGGTAGGAGCACCAGGGAGGAGGGAAACTGAGGCAAGGGCTGCTGGATGTGCCGAGCTCAAGGATGGAGGCAGCATGCTGGAGGCATCTTGGAGGCATCCGAGTTTGGCACCTCTGCAAATCACGGAGACTGTTACCTCCAGAGGGTGGTGTGGAGCTGAAGCCAGGCTCACATGGAGGAGTCTTGTCTTATTTTTCTCTCCACTGGTCCAGCTGGGCAGGACCAGGACCTCTTAACTGTTTCAAGAGGCATCACCCTTCTCCCCCCACCGCCGATGTCCCCATCCCTGCCCAAACCCCTTCCCACCCACCAGGATTGAAGGATGGCTCCAAGGCTTTGCTGTGGGGAAAAACCATCTCTGTCAGCTTCCTTTTAAATAAAAATGTAACAAGACAAATAAAAGATCTTAAGGAAAACATGATAGCATTTCATGCCTAATGATGCCAAAAAGGGTTACATGCCTCCATCAACCCCCCCATAAAGTCTGCCAGGACGCCCTATCCGTGGCAGGGGTGCGACGACAAAGGTGGCACTGCCACATGCAGGACATGCTCCCCTGGACTGCAGGATGCTGCGGCTTGCCTGAAGCACCAACCCCTCACAGCATCGAGGACGAGAGGGACTCAGGGCTTGCTTTTCCTTATTTTCAGCAGTATCTACCCTTTTTTTGCAGCTTCTATTTATAAAAAGGCCTCAAGTTCACGGCGACAGAGAGCTGCGCGCTCCCCAGCTGTAATTTTGTTAGCTGGCTCCCAGTGCTGTGAGGAGCAATTACCGTCTCTGTGCCACCTTCCTCGGAATAGCTGACAAACACGCACCAAGGAAATACAATTTATTTTGCCACTATTAAAGGGGGAAAAAACAAAAAGGCATTTGGGCCAAGCGCTTTTGGAAAAATTAGGGCTTGTGGAAGGACTGGAGATAGAGATGGTGCAAAACCACCTCGTCTCTCTGGAAAGCCTCAGCAGGGTGGGATGAGCAGCCCTGGAAAAATGGGGAGCATTCTGCAAATGCCCTGCTATCTCCATAATCGCCAAAAGCAAAGCCTACCCAAAACTGTAGGCTGAGCTTATGGCTCACAGGAGCGCCTACTGAAAGGGTTTACAGGCATCCAAACACAGCCGCTCTTACTAACCGTCCCTTCTTATCTGGCTGAATTATCCTCTCTGACTTGGCCTATTTTTGCTTTCTTCTGCATGAAATGTTTTGGATCAGATGCAGTCAGAGCATTATCGAGCCCGGCTCATTCAAGACACGTCATCTTAAAAGTTGGGTTTGTTTGTTTGTTTGTTTTTTTCCTTTAAAGGTCCCTTCTTCCAAGCTTTTAACCAAGGATACTTAAAAATCCACGAACCCCTAACCGTGTTAACCCATCGCTTCGTGGCCAGCTCTCCCCCGTGCCCCTTGTGGCAGATCGCCCTACAAAGAGCAGACGCTGCAAACGCAGATTTTTTTTAATGCAGCAAACCATTTTGGTTCCAGCTCCTTTTTTCTTGGGCAGATGTGCCCATACTGGCAGAGTTTGACATGCACAGCATCCCCTTCATACTAAAGGCATTGTCAGTTTTGTTCACAGATAGCAGCCATGCCATCTTTGAAGCCTGGGTGAAGAAGGTGTGCACCTTTTCCTCCCTAAATTGCTGGTACATGTTCTGCATCTGCAGACTGAGATCTGAGAGGGAGATGCTGGCCCAAAGCACATGAGTCCCCCCCAAAACGAGGGTAAGCTCATGCTGCATAGACTTTCTGCTCCCTTTCCACTACGTTTTCTCCAACCTGTTTTGCTCAAGAGTTGTGTGAGGCAGGTTATTCAGTACAGGGTACTTACTCAAGAGGTAGATCAAGTGGTGGGGCTAGAAATATAATGCTTTTTCCACGTTGAACATCACTAAGCCATGAAACTCCCTGCTATGGGATGCTGGGGCAACCCAGAGAATAAATGTGAGCATTTAGACATGTTGATGGGGAGGGAATCCATCCGGGGCTGGACCACACTGCAAAGATATCGCTACCAGACCAGGGAGTCCCTCATCCTAGAATCATGGAATCATTTTGGTTGAAAAAGACATTTAAAATCATCAAGTCCAACTGAAATAATGGACTGCAGAAAGCTGGGAGGGTAACAGAGCAGGGTCCATCACGCCATCCTTGCCCTGGCTCAATGCCCTTCCCCTGAGCATCCACTACTCCCACACACAGGGCGCGCAAACCTTTGGCTCGACCCAGTGCAGCCACACGTTATAAATAAATTAATAACCCTTCGGCGAAGGCTGCTCGGTCACTGATCGGCACTGACTTTTCCCTGGAGCGGTGAGGGTTTCAAATCTGGCCTCTGCGAGAGCTGAGAAGGGGAGATGCATTCCAAAAGAGAGAAATGGTGCTGCTGGTGTTCCAAACATTCTCTGGAGAAGTGAGGGGACAGCCTTGCCCTGCCTTTTCCGACAGCCTTCACAGAGAGATCCTCTGGAAGAAAAACATCCCAGGAACAGATAAGCAGCTTTAGGAGGAAAGGCTCAAAAACCCACAGGGAAAATAAAATGATCTTCCCTTTGCAGAGCAGGTTCAGAGATGCATCCAAGCAAGGACCAGCTCATGGCTAGCACTGGGTGATGAGTTGAGGAGATGCTGGGGAAGGGCAAGGCTGGGGAAAAAAAAAAAAACATACGGACAAGAGGAGAGTCTGTAAAAACACTTGTGCTTCTCCAGGCTGACAAAGTCTCTCCTCGAAGCCCAGCCCGTCTTCTGGGGCCAACATCACAGCAATTCAAAAGGCTGTCTCGGTTTAAAGCCCTCCGGAGATGAAGGATGCCGCACGCTCAGGGATTTGCAGAGAACAGATTGTATGTGGGAAATGTGATTGTTTTCCTCCCCTTCTGATCAGGCCACAGGTACCAAAATCGGTGCAGAAATGATAGAAGCCGAAGTAAAGCATCTAAATTTTAGCATATCTACTTGATTACATGACATATCTAACCCCCACACCTTGTTCTCATGCTGGGACGTTTCAAAGCATGGGCAAGCAGCTCCGTGGTGCCCAGTCCCATGGAATAAGGCACCTCCTAAAACACCTAAACCACCTTCTCACTCCCACATTTCAGGCAGCCAGCAGCTGACTTGTCCTCTGAGGCAGGGAAGAGCTCATTTGCCATTAAAAAGCATTTCAAATCCTACCTGCAAATGTTCTCATTACCCATTAAACATCGAATCCCTCTGCAAACTCAAGTAAGCTGCCAGCCTTTGCCACCCCTTGTGGCAATGACTCCTACGTGTTGATTAGGCGTTTTGTAGGAAGGCATTTCCTTTTTTTTTTAATCAGATTTAAACATGCTGCCTTTCAAATCCCATTTAACAACCTCAAATCCTGCAAAAGGGCAAGCGTGCAAGCACCGCAGGCTGATTTCCTCAAGCCTCTATGGGGTATGGTGACCCATACCATCATGATGCCTTCAGCAAGGGTCTGGAACAAGGCAGCTCCTCCATTAAAATTCACTGATGATATGGAAAGACAAGGTATGCATGAACCAAGGAGGTGGAAAACATACAAAAGTGACCTCATGAGATTGCAGTCATCTGGGAATGATAAAAATTAATCAAAGAGACCTGTTGGTCTACCTGAAGGAGAACCACCTCCATCGTGGATGTGCAAGAGAGAAAAGGGCAGAAGCGCCTGGGAAGAAGAGAGGGGAAGGGCAGGCGGGGCATGCTCGGGTGGGTCTGCTCACCGGTGACCTCGTCCAGGCTCTCCTTGGTGACATGGTCGTTCTGGTTGACCCACTCCCCATTGCATTTGAAGTAGATCTGGGTGGCGGGGTTGGCACGGCAGACGAGCTCCACTGGCTTGTTCTTCACGATGTAGGCGTCCTGAGGCTCCAGCAGAAAGTGAGGGAGGGTCTCTGCCGGGGCTGAGGGGAAGGAGTCAGGCAGCACGTCGCTGTACTCCAGCCCTGCCAGAGAAGCGAGAGGGTCAGGAGGTGATGTTAGTCCCATCCCAGTGAGGATGTAACTCCTGCCTACACTGCTTCATCCCTCCCTCCCCTTCCCAGGATTGCCCCACGTGCAGTGGTGTCACCAACAGCCCTTGCTGAGGATGCAAAGCAAAAAAAAAGCAAAACAGGACTGGAGGCTCCCCAAAAAAAGAAAAGCAAATTTCTGCTAGGTAGAGAGCTGCTGCTGCGGGGTGCAGCATGGTTTTGCCTGGGCACCAGCCTCCTCATCCACACCTTTTAGGGCTGACCTCAAAGCCTGGGTGATCTTGCTAGAGAACTCCACAAGGGAAAAAGCAAACCAAACCCAAGTCCAGGGATGGTGACAGGGACACATAGAGGTTCCAGAGGGGCTGCTGTCCCCCATCCCAAACACATGGGCATGCTCAGAGAAAAATATCAGCAGGGCTTGTGCTGGGAACACTGACCATGACCCTGGCACAAATCCCACACATCCCACTCTTTGGTGGAGCCATGTTCAGGATCTTACTCCCCCTGCCATCTCAGCATCACACCACAGGGATGGGACCTGCAGCCCCCACCAGAGTAGCCCCCACCCGAGCAGCCCCCAGGGACTGGCTATCTGCCCACTGCAGGCAAGCCGTTGCTTCCAGCCCAGCCACCTCCAGAGAACATCATCCATAAATACAACCAGGATTCACACTATCCCACCCCCACAACCACATAGGGTCAGTGCCCTGGTGATCTCCTTCTTCCTGCTTGTTTGCTTTTGAAAACAATCTAAATGCAAAAATAACCAGAAAATGAGGTCCTGTCTGCTCAGGCCAGGCCAAGAAAGGTCTCAAAAAGGGTCAAGCACCTCAGAGTCCACCCAGGGCCATAACTGCCAAGGAGCGGGAGCCCCAAGGTGGCTCATGCCCAGCACCAGCCTGGGAAGATGGCGCAACCAACGTCGAGGAGCATCTACAGCATCCAGCATAGGAAACCTGTTTCCAGCCACTTCATCCATGAAGATCAAACCCAAATATCACAGGACTGGTAAAACACACACAAACACACACACACACACACTGGGATGCTACTGCTTAACCTCTTCTTTCTGGGCATCTCGCTAGCAGTCAGGTCACATCACAAGGCTTTTTAATTTTATTTTTTTTTAACACCTAAAAGAGTTATGAGCTTTTCCTCCTCCTCTCTTCCCCGAGCGAGAGCTGTGATTCTCAACTCCAGGCATTGCAGTGTACAGGAAAACAGTAAATATCCCCAGCCCTGTGATAACATCTCCAGAGCTGGCAAGGAAGAGAGGAGCCCACTCCCTTTGTCACCCTTGGCAAGGAGCAGCACTGCACAGAGAGGATCAGAGAATGC